TAATTTGTTGCGTTCCGTTAACCGTCTAATATAATGGAGCTCTTTGCATCTTTCCAGACGTAAGAAGAGAATTTAATTGGTGGATGGTGACTAGCAGTAGAATCCAGGATGTGCATTTCGTCTTATTTCGGACTCGTCATCTGGTTGTACCTGCATGTGGCGACTGTTGATATGTATATTACCATAATGGTCATATAAAGCACTTGTGATCAGTTAGTCTTAGAAAATGTCTCCATAAGTCCGTTTTGTCCATCAGTGTACACCTATGTGAACTTCATCCCATGTTTTACTTGACACACACGCTTGCCTAAAACTAACTGGAGTAGCAAAATTATCGTGTAGCATGGCTTTGTATGCCCCTAAACCTTTAATATATAGAATTCGGTGAAAAATTTATTGCTTGCAGCAATACTTATCTTAAAGAAACCTGTATTTCTAATCAGTTTTTTGCAGTGACGGCGTTGTAAACAGATGATAATATGCTGTTAGAAGTCACTTAAAACCAGCGTATTTATTAAGCAATGACTGACTGACCGTTTCCAACGTAGGACTTTGCAAAGATGTGCAGCAGTTCGAGTTGCCACTCTCTCTCCATGCAGCACACAAAGCAAGAGAAGAGAGTAAAGAGAGATAATTAACAGAAATGTGAGGCGAAGCTAACAGTAATATGGCAGAACAATAAAATTTTTATTGAATATTATAAGTCACAAGGAGTGAATGCATCTGCGCCACCCATTGAAAAAGATTTTGAGCCATATTACCAATTGTCTCCAGCCTTCATTGGTTCTTACCATCTTTGACTGCCGCAACCAAGAAGTCTTCGCAACGACTGTGAATAATGTTTTAAAGATTTTTATTCCTTTACGTTCTCAGTGGAGCATAGGGCTTGAAACTAGAGGCTGTAGCAGTGGTGATTATTTTTACAGGATGGGGTTGCTGGCCGCATGCCCACCGTGAACAATAGTTGGCGCAAAATTGAAAGAGTTGGAAAAGGCATCGGTGGTAGGTAACACCAGAGAACTATTTAGACCTATCAGGGAAACAAGTGGTAAAAGGCAAATGATATGTAAAACAATCTATTTATTGACCGATATCTGGAGAATCCACTGAAGATCTAAACATAATGATGGAAAGCTGCTTAAATCTAAACTGGCTGAAAATCTTCTTGCAGAATAGTCGTTAGTTTCTTATCCCCTGGCCGATTTTACGAAATATGTCTTGAAACCAAAACAAGGCGAAAAATCGAGTCCTGGAAATTCACTTTAACAGGTGTTTCTACTTAGTGGTGATATGTTATTAAATAGAATAACTAAGATATAAGATAGTGTTTAAAATTCCGAAGGAGTTTTAACCTTTTATTAACACCCGTAATTTATAGGAATTAAGACATATCTTCATATGATAACATGCGTCGGTGGCATAGCGGTTAGGACTCTCGCCAACCATTCACATGGTCCGGGGTTCGATCACCGACCGTCGCTCTCCCATACCTCACTAAACCAGAAATAATGCTGGTAAAGAAGAAAGGTTGGGCATGAGCCTAACAATCCCATTCTGTGAAATTAAACACTGCTACAGAAACTTCAAGACACTAGCTTGAGGGCCTATGTTCCACTGGGGAACGTGAAGGAAAAAAAATTCATATGATAACCGCAGGAGGATTTGCCTAGTTAGTAGAGTGTCTAGCCTCCAGGCGTCTAACGTCATACGAAAATCAATTGGATGCCAGGCCTGATGGCTAGACATTGATCAGATCTCCACCATTCGAATATATATATATATATATATGTGCGTCGGTAGCACAGTGGTTAGGACCCTCGCCGACCATGCACATGGTCCGGGGTTCGACCTCCTGCCGGCGCACACCTGATATCTATGGTCGGCCTGCGAAATTCGGGCTACCGATATCCATGCTTAAAATTCTATACTTGTACCAAAATACAGTGTGGAATCAAGCTGTAAATAAAAAAATTAAAAAAAATTATATATATATATATATTTATATGAAATATATTTATTTATCAGAAACCGAAATTTGCCATACTACTCAATTTGAATGTGATGTTGGATGACGTCGATTTAAAGGCGTTATAAAAATGTCTGTTTCTGAAAGCAATGACATGAATGTATGCTACACCAATCATGAACTACCCAACTTATAAGGTCTTTTTTGAACTTACAATGATCAGTGATGTTTACCAGGAATATTTAATGTTATTCATTCTTGCTGTTAGAGAAACAGCCAGTTGACTCAGTGTGCAGTAGATAGACTCATTTTAAACGAAAACAATGACGGAATTCAGAGCAAAACTGTAAATATTTTTGATATCTGTTATTTCTTTAGTCAAATGTCGAACAACTATGTTATTAAAATGCCTTGTATCAACTTGTTTCGGGACCAGTAGGTTAACTTGTCAACTAATTTGGCATTTTTTACGTTCTGTCTCACAATCCTTGGTTAAGACGTCCATCTTCTAAATAATATATTCTTTCCCATAGAAAGGTGTAATTAGTTGATTGCTGTTTTCTCTAGCAAATCAACTACACCATGAAGAGATTTATCTCAGTAAAATTCTGATTACGCTAAACATAATCGAAGTCTTTCAAATATTACAATCTTAAATCTCTTGTGGCTGATTCAATATTGGTATTAATAGAAGTTTTTTTTGATTGGACACTAGTAACTAGTGTGACGTGTCTAGTCCTTTTTTTGGTGCAAACTGAATTCTATCAGTGTTAGGTTTTGCAATGTGGCCACCATTCTAGGTAACTCGCCATCACGGTGCACATTGATTTGATGATGATATTAGATAGTTGGAGGCAATCGGCCACAGGAAGCCTTGGACCTAAGTTTCGTGCACTCACCAGTCAGTCAGCAAGGCATATCTGCAACCTTGAAGGAACTCATGTCCCTTCTGAGCTTCGAACCCATATCACCCAGTGCTGCAGTCAGAGACGTTACCACTGTGTGTAACATTTCAGTTTTGGTACCTTAAACCAATGATTAATTCCTTTCAAGACAAAAATATATGGAGGAGTAGTTGCTGATAAAATACAGTCTACTAAATATTTCAATATATTTGAACTGTCTTCTACTTATTTACTGACTAATCATAGGGTTTATTTTCTTTAAAAAAATAACTCCCCATACATTTCTCTTAGTTCATATTGTAATATCGAATTTCCACTTCATTTATAAGCTGCATTTCTTATATTACAAACAATAAATGTGTGCAGTTACATCTGTGAATAATTTAAGGATAAAAAAAGTCCAGAGTATGTATCTACCTGTAAAATGAACTGTTCTCAATCTTTCCATATTTACTTCAAAGTGATACAGGAAGCTCGTAGTTTTTGCGATTAGTCTACATATCAAATTAACCATTAACACTTTGGAAATGTGTAGACTTACATGGTATCCAATTTTTCCAAAAATGCTTCATCTTTTCTTGATACCTTGGTGTGATAGCTGAAAGTAAATGACCAGTGAAAGACTGTACCGCACGTAAACTAAACTACCCCAAACTTCTTTCCCAGCGAGGTACCACAATTAGGCTGAAATTCATTAATCTGTGAACTTGTAGGTTTTCTGAAGGAGGTATGCAGTTGTTAGCGTTCATTAAGTTCCTAATCTAATCCAAGAATCTGACGAGATTAACAAAGTAGGTAGAATCTGAATCGCCCTTCACCTTCAACCTGACCGACTTAGTAGTACCATCAACCGTCATGCTATAAGTGTTGCCAAGGTTGTCTGCTACGTGAAGGAAACTGTTCCAAGTATTTTAATCCTAACTGATATTTAGTAGGTTTTATATGTTTTCTCATGAACATTTCTCTTCTATTACTGTAGTGCCCCCAGATTTTTATCTATTTCTGTTTCTCTCGAAGCGCACCCTGTCTCCGCTTTTGCACCTTATTTATTACTGTCTTTCGAGGTTGCGGTATATACCAGAATTCGTACGAATTGAGCATTGACTAGGATTAGAATGCAGTGGTGATGGCTGTCCGCCTTCTATGAATTTAATGACCACTATCTCAGTTTCTTCGACTTATCATATGCATAATATGACGGGCGTATATCAGCCCTGCTTTAATCATCTTAGATTTTGAACTGTAGCAAACCCTTAATTTTCAGGCTATTTTGCAGGGATTTTTGCGTTTGTTATCGCTGCATTAGACATGTAATAATTTCATTCCCCAGCATCATACTGAACAAGCTAGCGACTGTACCTTTCTTATTAATTTAATTTGTTTCCAATTTTTAAGGCCGTTTATTCCATGGTTTGGTCTATATTTTGAATTACAATTGTTAACAACACATATGTCCTTTAACTTACATGTTGTTTAGTTCCCTGTCTTACTAATCAAGGTGGAACTATTTTGAAGAACATACTGTTAAAGTAAATACATCTAAAAATCCTCTTATATTGTTAAGAAATGGTATTAGTATTTTACACAGTCACATATTCAATATCATCAAACAGCGGATTGAAGTAAATAAGATATTTGCAGACATTGATTATAATAGTTCCTTAGTGAAATGAGTAAATAATACCTTTGTTGTTTTATATGCAGTATTTTTCAGCGAATTCTTTGCCTTATGCCGATTTATATACCATCCACCTGGTTTTTTCCTAAGCCTGCATATAAGTTAGTTGGCCTTTCCAATTGAAGATTTATTTCTTTTCTATGTTGTATGGTTTTTTTATGAGTGACAGACTGTACTATTTCTGAAATATTGATAGACCAATCAAATAATGTAGCTTTCTACAGACTTATTGTCGTTCTATTGGTCGTTATGTGTGTCCTTAACAAATAACCAATCATAATCTAAATATTTTGGTTAGTGCGTAGGTGAGCTAGTAACATATTTTTATGCATGCTATAGAAGTCTGACTGTATCGATTTTACAGACAGAAAGAAAAATCAATTTTCAGTCTGTCTCTTAGGTCACACAAGATTTGTCGTTTTTTTCGTTTTTCTAACTAAATAAAATCGATGCAGTATTTTTGTTTGTGTTTGTCTGGTAACGTGCATTGTATAGTTTGTTGTACTATAGCAATTCTTGGATCACTAATGTCTGTGAGTGAATAACAGTAACGGATACAACAGGAGGCTTTGGTTACTAGTATCTGTAATAATTTCTGTCATCATGAGAAAATTGTATACCACACGCTTCGAATTGTTACCAGTGCGGTTATTGGTGTAGTCTAGGTAACATAATCATCCAGTTTATTATCGTGGTTATTTTGTCAAGCTGCATGTTGATAAGTTTCTTGCAGTTTCCTTTATTATTTTCTGGAATTCTTTTCGTAATTGTTCCAGTTTGTTTAGTGTTTAGATTTTATATTACACTTTGGTTTTACAGAGGATAATTACGATAACTGTAATGCTTTTCACTTACTTTCCGTCTTCTTCTATAGGCTCTCACATGTTTAAATATAGTGGTTTGTTTCACCTGAATCATTGTCACTTTTAGGTGTCTCTTACAGATTTACCGCCTAAACTGATCGCCCAGATGTCCATAAAAATTTTTGAATGATAAATCCTCCCGAGTAATGACATCGTATTAGATTTTTGTGTGTATTTCCACAGCGTAAGGTGCAACGTAATATTTTTGTCTCTACTGAAGTTTGAAAACCTCGAGATCTTCAGAAAAGTCTCGTAGATAGCTGACATGAGCTCAAAAATAAGAATATGAAGTGTGAGACGAATTAGTTAGGTTTGCCTTTCGAGTTATCACAATGCTGGTTCTAATATCATCAGTGTTTGTTTTAACTGTGTTACTTATTGCCAGAATTAAGCATGCAGCTCCTGATTTTTACGATATCAATACCCCCTTGACTCCATTATTCCAAGCTTCATAACCTTTTATTGATAGCTGTTATTTTAAACAATTTTTCAAAGTTTTTTAGACATGTTATAATTATTGAATTAACAGATAGCTGTTTTCCTTTATTTTGAATATATACATGTTTAGCTTTCGGTGAGAATATTGAGGAAAGACTAACTGAACAAGCATCTGAAGCTAAGAAAAAACAGTTAACACAGTTTCGAGAAGCCCGGTCTGTCCAACGTAGACTTTTGGCGGAATTTCAAGATATTGAAACAGGAGATCTATTGAAGTTTAATCAGTTAAAGGTAACGCCCATTTTTGTATTCTATTTTTTTGTTTATATTATACCTACATATGCCTTTCGACAGATAACATACTGGTTATTTTGTAAAGTGAGATGCCGTTTTCTGTAGTTTGTTGATTTGAATGTAGGATAATAATGGACACAGGATGTCTTCGAGATATTAACACTTGAAATCCTGGTATTCTTCTTACTGGTAGCTTCAGCAAGATAATGCTCACTATGTCACATGATTCGGGATTGTTTGATCCTCACATTTTTGATCCGTTCTATTCTCTATCGCCAATTCATACATTTTGCGTGCCTTATTTTTTCTATTCGAGAAGGTTCATTCTATCTCTGACCTCAGTTCGCTTTCTACAAATGCATACTCTCTTATGGCTATAATGGAATACTAATGTATCCTTGAATAGTTTTAGTGTTGGTGGGATTATAAGCCAGTAATTCCTCAGAAGTATTTTGATAAGAGCCAGTTTACGGGAATATGTTTCTTGAAATATGTAACTGAATTGCGTTTCCGAGGTTTGAGATTCTTGAGAATTGAAAGGTTTTACTAAGTGAATCAAGTAGAAAATGTAAAGGTGTTCGAGTTATTTTTTCTGGCCTTTCAGAAAAAATGTAGAAGTGTAGGTGTTAGTGAAAATAAATACAGTCACTTATGTTTAAATAAGTAGCATTGTTTACTGTGAAAGGGTAGTGGAGGCGTATAATTGCTTATATATAGTTGTAGTGTTTTAGACATATTTTCCATACTCTCTCGGGGTGTTTATTTTATGTTTATATTATGTCATGTTTGTGTTGGGGAGACTAAATGGTCGCGGGTTAGTCGGTGAGGATTGTCTTCTGTAACTTTGTGCAGATAACAGCCTGTTTCCGGCTAGCACAAATTACCGACTAAACCTTTGTAGTATCACCTGGAGTCTTCCCACCGTTATCTAAACCCGAAAACGAATAGATCATATCACTATCAGCTACTGAATTGAAGAGGTGCATACAGAACTGCCACTTCTCTGGGAGAAGTTGTCTGGATTCAAATCATGTTTTAGTGTGCCGTTTTTATCTTGCTATTTGGTAGTGATAAACATATTCTACAGGTGTTAGCGTAAGTTAACTAATGATAACTTCCAAGTATCAAATCCTATTAGACAAAAGGCTAACTGCTATGTCCCAGGTATTACTGACGAACACTGGGTGCACTCACAAGATGCAATGAAGCAATACCAGCATGACGAATGTGGTCAAGTCTTGTGGTCAGAAAATGTATTGACATGGGATCAGGAGCTACATTTAACGATACTTGGAAGCTGTCCCAGCTCATCTTAATCAGGAAGCATGATTTCAGTGGGGATGTCTGTGGGTGGATGGTACGCTAATTAACAGCCTGAAAAGATTCGGGTTGCTTTGTAAAACAACCCATATCGCCGCTATCCAACATAACTAATCACAGTGCTCCATGGTTGGTTAATAGCAGTATACTAAATGTAGTGGAGATCAAAAAGAAATTCCAAGTATTCAATCACTGTTAGGTACCTAGCTCAAGCAATTTATCCCTGGCTCTTCTTAAAAATATTGGCGAGTCTTCTCAAGTGACTGACTGGATTTTTCAGGGGAGTATGGGAAAACGACAGTGTGCCATCAGTGAAGAATGAAACTATCCTGCCTATTCCTGAAAATAACCTTCGTAAATGTATGTAGGAATCATAGCGGTATTAGTCTGTTAACAGCTGCATCTAAAATAACGGCTGACCTCTTGTTCCGCAACCTGTATAAAATTCTGAAAGCCCAATACAGAAAACGTTCTCGTAGAATTAGAACATACAAACAGCTGTCACTGTTGATCTCAACCGACAGTGGGGTGGAATAAAGTTACTGTCTTTCGCAATTTCTCCTTCACTTTGCCATCAATGACATTCTGTAGACACCTCCGAAGGATGTATTGGTGGTAATGCAGATATGCTGTCCGGAGGAAAATTTCTGCAGAGGATATGATTTCAATGTATTATAACATTCAGGCCGCTTAAATCGCACTAAATCGGTTGGTGACCAGTGTCTATGTGCGTAGTACGTTCTTTGCTCCACCTAAGTGCAAAGTAATGTTGCAAGATCGGCAGGAACCCGTACCTTCAATCTTCCTTAGACGAACTGTCAGAATTAGTTGACAATTTCGCTTATTTAGTTGGTTGTGTGGGTGCTGGTTGAAGTGTGATGACGGAAATCTCTAATCGTATAATGAAACCTAAGACAGCACACTCCAACTACAGCCATCTCCAGCGCCATTGCGACGTTACTCCGGTGGCCAGTTTTCGGGTTTGTCATGCTTTGCTTCACACAGTCTTGTTGTACGTATGTGCAAGCTGGCATCTTCAAGCTAACAGATATCTGGCAACTCTGTGTCTTCGATCATTACTGCCTCCATGGAATTGCTTGCATCCACTTGCATCATCATGTACCTAATTCTGTAGTCTGGTGGGGTATATTTGATTACGTCTGGGATTCTCTTTCAATAATTGTCATCTTGGAACACTAGATTTTGGCAGATTGGACGTGTACTACTAGTGTCTTCTCAGATGCAATTTGTTTCCTTTCTGAAAGTTACTTAAATTGGTGAACTCTCCTTCAATGCTTTTGGTTAGTATTTGTATCTGTTTTCATGATTCTGTTTCCTTAATCATTCTGCTGTTTTCCATATATTTTGAATTTAACTCCTTCCTCTCTTGGTGCCTCTATTGTACCAAGTTTGTGTTTAAATGAATGCATCGGAATAAGAATGCAGTTGTGATTACTCTGACCGATTACTTTAACAGTCAGCAATTTCAACACTCTTTTCGAGTGTCGAATAGTAAATTACTTTGGATTAATTAAGAATCTGTAAGAAATTTTAAGAGAATTTTTAATGGAAGTTATTGTGTGTGTGTTTGTGTATGTGTTTCCCGAGAATATAGACACTAATTTATTGAAAATAAAGTTTTACCTTAAAACATAATTGTCGGAAGGCAGGAATAATGTTAATAAAAATATCTGAAGCTGGATTTCATTCAAACTTTGAGTGTGTGCCGAATGAATGGTGCTAGTTTACTTTGAAAGGCCTGAAAAAAACCATTAAGTGTTCTTCTTAACTGAAAGTGACCAGCACTGCCCTCTAAATAACCATAAAAAGTTTTGGTAACCAATACAATTTAATGAAGTCCATAAAATGAATGTATGTCGAAAAGAACAGAATTCATGAGCCATTGGATTGGGTCCCGGTGGCTTAATGGTATACGAGCTCGCCTTATAACCAAATGGTCCTAGGTTCGAACCCCAGTGGGTGCCTAGTGTTGAAGAGTCGCAAACTAGGACGAAACAGCTGTCCAGTACTCCCAGCTAGTTTTCCAATGGTTCTCTAACTAATGTGAGCTCATGATGAAATCCTGAAAGCAATCAAATCCCCACAAACCAACAATTGAATAAAGAAAATAATAATAAGTGATTCCAGTTGAAAATACCACCATCTGATCATTCATTTCGTCTTACACTAGCGAAATTCTAACACAGTTCAGTTAAAACACAAACACTTGCAACCAACATGTAAAAAGTACCACAGTCTCAGACTAGGCCATCTAAGCGATTCACAATTACCACCACTCTCAACTAAATATTACACAATTTTATTAAAAAGTTACTTCTATTCAAACATTTCGCAGATGAAATTTCAACGACAGAAAACCTTAACTCTTCCTTGATAAGCCGACATGACAATATGCCGTTAAAAGATAGTGTTCCTATTATATTTCTGTTTCTAAATCTAGCTGACTATTTTGATTTTTATCGGTTTTTTTTAAACCAAACATTGATTTTAAGCTACGTTTTTAAAAGACAGTCACAAACACATTTGTCACACTTGTTTGTTTAATTCAATTTTAAATTCTGGCTATTAATCAATGCAAATTATTGGAGAAGCACTTCAACTTTTGGCACAAATAACTTATCAGTAATTAATCATCTGTCTGATTTTTTTTAATCTTTGCACATTATTTTTTAATTTTAATCGGTAAATTGAATAAATAGCAGTGTCTGTTCGTTTTTTTCTTGCGTTATGTGCAAGTTTTTTTTGACATTTCGTGAAACTGTGATGCACAGTTTTTTATGCAAGTTACTTCGGATTCCCTCCCACATACGCCACACTGATATCTTTTACCTGGACTATTTTCATGAAGGTAAAAGATATCAGTGTGACGTATGTCGCAAAGATTTCACTACAGCTAGCAATTTGAAGAAACACATAGACTCTGTTCATGGAAGAAAGTTGGTTGTTTTGTGTGTTTATTTTGTACCACAGTTTCATGTTGACTTGATGAATTTCACGTTTCACTACTGTGTCACATATATGACCTATGTGGTTCCACCTTTTGCATTCTAAGGGATTGGTGCAGGTTTAGGGTGTATATGTTCTGTATGATCAGTGTAGATGTAGAGTGCATATGTACTGTCTGCAATTCGGTTATTTCTCTAGAATTTCTTTTTGGAATCCATTTTACGAAAATCGGCCTCTATTATTTAAATGTGTGCTGGTTACCATGACTATACTTGCAAAATATATCTCGTAAATTTATTCACCTCTGTCTTTGTGTGGTCTATGGTTTGAAGTTTACTTCTTTATTTTGATGATCGGATGTTGTGTTACTCATTAGTCCAATGGTTTGACTCTCTTTGTTTTAATTTTACTGATGAATTCAGTCATTGTACTATCTGTATCATCAACGGTTGGTTGAATATGAATGACTGGATTGTATTTTGAAGTGTGAAATAATGCTTATCACCTTTGTTCCAATTGTGATGGACTTTAGCATATGTACATGAAGACACTAATTAGAGGAAACAATGAATTGATATTACTTCATATGGCATTTTCTTCACTCCGCATCCACGATTAAACCTAGGATCTTCAGGCTACAAGGCTTAACCTCTCTTGCCATTTAGCCCCTTGAGCTGGAATTCAATGATCCATGAATTCTAGCTTCTCTTGATTCCTGACTTTAGCTCGACTGCTAACCAATGTCATCGGTGAGTATGTGTTTGAGTGGATCCCACTGGTCATAACTTCTCACTAGAGAACTCCAGGCCACTTCGTCCTGTAGTCAGTCACTAGTGTGGATCAGATTATTTTTCAAGTTAATTTTTGGTTTTCAAAGGTTCTCTAATTGATATCAGGCTGTAATCAAACTTGAAACAAATTAAATCCTTGCAAACTCACTTTTGAAACTGTTCTCCCTTTGATGTTGCTGTATTTTCTAAGCTAGACAGTTTAGTTGCGAGGCTTTCATCATTTTGCCTTCCCCTCTGCATCTCTAGTGCTAACTTTTATGTGAAGTGAGCTTTGGAAATTTTCCACAGTTAAAATATTCGCCTCTCGTGGCTGAAGATGGGTCACTCTCGTAGTTTCTTCCGAGTATTTTCTTTACTTTATTCAAGCTGTTTTATAAACGACTGACTTTGTTCTTATGGTTTTTGTACGGAGTCGTAGCCGGTCACAGTCAACTTCACCAGGAGTGATAAATGTTTTTTAGGTGGAGACAAAAGCTATCACGAAGTATTTTCGTGCATAGTTTAGAAAATGTTACTATATATATATATATATATATGTTCCAACTGTTCACCTTTAAAACAGTCGAACGTAACATCTGATATAATTATAGCATTCCTTTAAGCATATGTAATACAAAATAAACTATCTGAGAAAATTCAAGTCGTAATTGATTGTCTCCGATCAACCCATACAAGTATACTGAGATGAAAGCATGGCAAGTTTGATTTACAATAATTTTACGCGTCTCACTTATGAGGAAAACATCCACCTGAGCTAATATATGCTTTCTTCCTGGTGCATAAAGAACCTTTTTGATCGTTTATGAAGCATATTTGTGATTTATCCGGTTTTCAAGCAAAAAGGACAATCTTTCTCAAGATCAGCGTTTTTCATTTTGAATAAATAATTTAAAAACAGTACTGTTCTGCAAAAATATGATGCAGATAAAAATTACTGCTTTTTGGGAGTATTAATGCCAAACCACAAAATATTACGTACTTATTATAATGATGATGTCATGCGATGTCTTATCGGTGTTTCTGTGTTATACATGATAGTCATCTGTCAAAGTGAATTATGTGTATACCAGCATATAAACTCTAAATATTTATTAATTTTGTTGTATCATTGTTATCGTTACTGCATACATCGGCGGTTTAGTGATAGAATGCTCACCGACTACTGATGTGATCTGAATTTCGTTCCACGGCTGACGCACTATGAAACTTTGCTCAAATGGTAGCAATCTTGGTAAAAGTGTAAGGTTGGGCATGAGGCTTAATCATCCCTATCCCTTAGAAATAAGAAATATCACTGCTATCATAACTTCAAAGCTCAGGCTTGAAGCTCTAATATACCATCTGAAAAATAAAGGAATGAATACATTATCATTACCAGATATTATGTATTTGGCTCTTTTTGCTGGATAAAATTTACGCCATATAGATACTGTTAATCACTTGTGCTTAAGAATTAATCACGGATTGATATCAGTCAGAGAACCATTGAGAACCAGAACCGGAGTATTGGACAGCTCTATCATCCTAGTTTGGGAATTATCGGCAATACTCATCCACTGGGGTTCGAACCCATGACCTTGTAATTACAAGGTAAGCTCGTATACCATTCAGCCAATGGGACCTGATTCAGTGGCCCATGAATTCTAATTTTTACCAATTCTTGATTTAGCGCGACCCCAAACAATGTCATCGGTGGGACATCCATTCTCACTGGTCACGACTTCTCACTAGAACTCCAGGAAACTTCGTCCTGTAGCAAAGTCGCTAGCGAGCACCAGATTAATTTTGCAAGGATTAGTTGTGTTTTTTTTACGAGTTGATCACTGATTGATATCCTATAAACCAACTATAGAATATATATATATATATATGCTTTGAGTAAGACACCAGGATTTACTTCATACCGATTAATTGTGAGCCAAGTAACAATTTATTCTTTTGCCATCACTATCCCATTCATTTTTATCAGAATTTATTTTTGTTTCAGACAAGATAGTGTTTCGATAATAAATTTCACTTTAAATATGTCCATATTGAGTTGTGATGAATGAATAGAGTCCATCTGCTGTAATCCAATATGTGAACATGTGTTATCTTCTGTTACATTTTTCTACTTAACCTTTATAAAAGAATTATTTGCATGTTTGGTTTTTCCCGAAGAAATTTTAAAAGAAAATAATCGATAAATAAGTATAACGTTATGAATTTTTTTAAATAGACATCTTGGTATTTGTCTGCAGCATAAACAATGTACTTAAACATTATTGTTTTATTTTTTAAACTCATTTTAGTTCCGTAAGAAACAACTCATATTTGCAAAATCACCTATTCATGCTTGGGGTCTCATCGCTTTAGAGCCTATAGCTGCAGAAGAAATGGTAATTGAATATGTTGGTCATGTGATTCGCAAAAGTGTAGCTGAATTACGCGAACGTCAGTATGAAGCTAAAGGTATTGGTGGTTCTTATCTTTTCCGGATTGATGATGACTTTGTGATTGACGCCACCATGTGTGGTAATAATGCTCGTTTTATCAACCACAGTTGTCAGGTATGTTCAAATTTTAAACTTTTATGCACATATTCTAAGATGAGAAATAAATTTAAACGTATTTAATAATTTAGTTTGTATGGTACCGTTTTTGTTAATCAGAATTTCAAGACTGAATTTAGTGGACATCATTTCAACTTAAAGATCTTTTTGATTGAAATACCAACTCCTTGATACCTCACATGTTTTATTACACTAGAAGACTTTTTCATTTGAGAGTCCTAAATACTATACTCAGTCAGATAAATGTTGATGGTGTGGATTTAAAATTGTTACATAATATTACGTAACACTGTTTAAAAGAAATGAAATGAATAATCTTACTTGTGGATGATATATGGTCAGCTTCGTTCGACAAATTGCCTCATAGATTCCTTATGAAGAATATACGATCTCTGTGTGTGTTATTAAGTTTTTCCCGGCTTGCCTCTATTTTTTAATGTTTGTTATCATATCAAATTTACAGTTATTACTTTTTGTCTGCTTAAAGTTTGGGTTGCTTCGAATTTGATGCCGACTAGGAACATAAGTACTGTTATTATGTGTTGTGAGTGAAAATAAGACTTCTGTGAAATATCTTTATTACACTCGGTCCTCCGAGATCACTTGCGACTGGCTTCACGACTGCTAACAAGCTTTGATTTCCTCGGTACATCGTCTTTTCTGTGTTACTCTGTGTCACGCCCAACTTGTCGCTTCCGATTGGCATTCCACTCGGGGACTTGGTATATGACGTCACTTGGATGTCTCATCAGCGTATGTCCGATTTATCTCCATTTCCTTTTGGATATTTACTAGGTTTATCTTTTCTGGCGGACCATGTGATCTTCAGCATAGAGCCAAGATAACTGTTGGTGATACTCTGTAGCCTGATGCACCAAGTCTGTGAACCATATAAAAACATTGACTTGATATAGGTGTTAAAAATTCTAATGCTGTTCTTTGCACGCTTGTCTTTCTTGACGTTATTCACCCATCTTTGGCTAATCTTTTCGTTGTTCATCTCTACACTAGTTCATGTTTTACTTCACCATTCTCTCTTCTATAAGTGGCCTGCAGTAAGCCATTCCTTGTCCTGCCCCTTCTTGCCTAAGGTGTTTATCTAGGTTACCGTCTACTTCGCTTTCATGGAATTCAAGAGTTAATCGACGTGGATTTTCTCGATGATATTGCTTAATGTCTCCGAATTTCTCCTGATGACTACATGAAAGGTGTTCTTTGTAGCGTTATCGTTCAACTTAAATTGTGATAGCTGTCAAGATTCTTTACGAGCTTTCATCTTGACATTTCATTAGATAATGATCTCAACCCACATCTACTCTTCTCGATTTTGTGTTTAGCAGGCCGCTTTTTCTCCTCCTTGAGATTGAAATGAAGAAATCTGATTCTCAGTGTATCCATCTCGTAAAACCTATGTCGTCTTGCATGTATTCCTGTGCTTTTACACACTGCCTCTAAATCATTAAATTATTAAACGTGTGGGAGTCTGTGAAAAATTCTCCGTTTTCATTCATTTTACCGAACTTCTCTTGACTCATGATTATAGTGTGGTAACAACAGTTTTATTCAAAACAATATGTCTGTATACAGTACACAACTTTCAGCTTATAGTGATGAATGTAGTATGTGTTCCCAGTCTGCTTGACTTCATATAACCCATTGGAATTTTAATATCACTATCTAGCTGAGTTCTCGTCCATTACCGTTTGTAGCTGTCTATGGAAGTCTTTCTTCTCCTCTTGCTCTGAGATATTTTCAAGTGCGTAGCACTTTATAGTAGTAACTTCCCTTCCTTTTTAGTTAAATGTTATTGTCATGATCTTTGATGAGATTGCTTCCCACTGCATGATTGAGAGTCTTTGATATTATTGGTAACACCATGATATAGCCACATCCTCAATATATATCGGTGGTTGTCGTATAGATAATCGGTGCAGATTATTGATCTTCCTGTTAAAAATTTGTAAAGTTCACGTCTATTTCATCTGTTTCCATATATTCATTACACTTTTATACCGTATTTCCTCTGTCTAAACGGCCGTGCAATACTTGAACAAATATAGTTATTAAGGCAATAAACTTTGTGCTTCTTCAAATTCGTAAGGTTATGGTAAACTTGTCACAATTAATTGAATGGTGTGAATACTTTTAAATCTAAAATAGTAATTGTCAAGTGCTTATTTATTACTACAGAACAGCAATTGGATAATTAATTGAATTTAGTTTCACTTTAAATTTATATTGATACTGTCATATTTCAAGTAGTTACAGGACTAAATTAGCGATCAAAGTTGTAAAGATACCAGTGACTTTTTCGAATTTTGTGTATGAACATTGTTCTCTGTCGACATATTTCGACAAAGCAGTAGGATATTATGCCTATAGATTACTTATTGTTACTCTTCAAATATGTTTCATACTATTGTTATGTATTGTTTTCAAGTATTACTTTGTACAGTAAATGTTTTGTACCTTGATCAGGTTTAAGATCAGATTATTTATGTATCCTTTAAATCACTCACTACTCGATTTAACCTAGATTTTATGATATTTATGCCTACTCTTAAGGGTGCAAGTGTGCATCAGTAGTTCAGTTGTAAAATACTCACCAACCACGGATAATGTCTGGAGTCCAAAATTCCGACTGACGCACTCCTAAATCTCGCTAAGCTGGGGCAGTAAGCCTCGTGAAGAGGGAAGGTTTGTGTGTGAGGCTAGCAATCTGAAGCTCGTAAAGAAAGAAAACACCACTGCTGCGGAAACGCCAAAGCTCTAAGCTTCAAGCCTCCTGTTCCACTTGGAATGGAAAGGAATAAAGTTCTAAAAGATAATAAAGTTTGTAAACTACGTGGTTGTATTTAAGTTAAGCAGTGGTATGCCTATTTTGTACGACTTGGTGCATCCGTATTGTTAAATTAGCTAAGCCCGACCGAAAGCTGCTACCTTGACGTGGTGGTCGGGCTTGAACACCGCAATGATCTATTCAAGCTATACTGGCTGAGACTTATGTCTCTTGAGGTACTACCATGCCAGGCAGGTTGTTTGGATAGCGGTTAAACAAAAAGCAGCTACCCAATCCAACATCATGTCCGATACAAAATCCCAAAATTTCATGCTGGGTCGGCCGTGGCCCGGATTAACAACGACCGCGCTTCCTGCTGCCGTGTCACAGGGTAGGAGTGATAAATCTGCTACTGAGACACACCAAACAAAAAAGAACGAACAAAAACAGGCCGCGTGTGACCGGCCTCAAGCAGTTGTCCCCTGGGCTCTGCGGTCACGCAACCAACTTCCACGGTGTGGGCAGCCGGGAAGTAACAATCGCCCTCACAATCCGAAACCTTAAATTAGCTAAGACAGTTTTCTAATTTCATTGAGAACGTTTTCTTGTTGGAAATTCAAACGAAGTGTTGCCTTTCAGGCTACGCTGACTGATAGGATCAGCTCTACACGACATTTTATAAAGTATATGATTTAAAAATCAACATAGACAGAGTTACATACAAAAAGGTGAATTCTCCGATTGATCGAATGTGGTCATGTGGCACTATACTGGGTTTTCAGCCGGTAGTCAAGTGTTTGAGTCCCACTCCCACCTACTTGAGCCTGGCCAACTGGATAGTATCGTCAACTCTCATACGATTAAAGTATGGTTCTTAGCCTGGTGCATGGGAAATCTGTTTCGGGTTATTGATGTTAAATAGACTGAGCATTATATATTTTTAAAAGTTTATGTAAAGCCAATTGTAGAATACATCTTTCAAGTCCAAAGATGACTTATTTATGTGCTTGCAACAGTGTTATAGCAGCATTTTCCTCAGTTTTTCTTTCGAAGCGAACATTAAAAGCATCCTCACCAACTCTTGGACACGTATGATAATTAATTATAGTCCAACGGTAGAAGATAAGAGTGTAACAATTGTAGGCAAGACACAGAAGCCAAGGTATATTTCATTAATCAAACCGCTGTCTATATTCGTTAACCGATCACTGAGTCTGTGGTTTCGGCTGAAATCAAACAACATGAAATAGAATGTTTAAATATACATAGTATTTTGTTGTTAATACTGTACATAACCGTGGGAAAAATATTCTGTCTCTAACATCAAATAGAATGTTCAAATAAATATATTGTATCCTTTTTCTAATGCAGTCTTGAACTGTGGGAATAACATTCCGACTCTAGCACCGAATAGAATGTTCAAATAGATATATATCGTATTCTGTTGCTAGTGTCTAATTAAACTGTGGCAATATGTGAGAATAACATTCCGTTGGAAGAGATTGTCTGTATCACACTACCAGAAGAGAAGTAGTAAGTGACCTTTTTACTAAGGCGAAATGCATCATATTTTTATACTTCTAATCACATTAAAAGTCTGCTAGGTCAGTTGACAATAAACTGTTCTGATTGGCTGGCTGTCGATCGAAAGTTGAACAAAAGGACGATGAGTTGTCCAATGAGATCATTTCCTAACCACAAGGTTAACTAAATCCAAATTTTGAGGTATAAACACTCCGACCTGTGCTACCATTATCTTAAAATGTTGATTTCAATTTTCGGGCGCTTCCGATCAATTTCCATTAATATTGTACACGCCAAAAAAGTTGAGAAAGTTTCTCAAAAGGCGTTTTGTTTGAATTCGGTTAGATGTCTTATTTAGTAATGACGTCTTCTTCAACAATGACTTTCAGGGTTAAATGTTAATTTCAAAGTATGTAACATTTGTTGACATCAGACTATCTGTAGTGACTTTTGTTTTACTTAGTTTTTATTTTCAATTTTAATATTTTATTATCTTTGAGGATTCACATCATTGTTTATCCATTCTGTATGATATCATTTTTAGCCTAATTGTTACGCCAAAATAATAATGGTTGAAAGCAAGAAGAAGATTGTTATTTATTCAAAAAGAGATATTAATGTTATGGAAGAGATAACGTATGACTACAAGTTTCCTTATGAAGATGAAAAAATTCCTTGCCAATGTGGTTCATCATCATGTCGTGGGACACTTAATTAAAATTGGTATCTTTGGTTAAACAATTTCTCTTAAACACAAAAACAAAAAATCAAAGTCAGAAAATGTATATATTTTATATATATATAATAGCCTTGTAAGTAATTTTCTTTGTCTTCAAAATTTCCTTGTCTCTCTTTGACTACTAGTTTTCTTTCTTTTTATTCTTCGTCGCCGTCTTCTTCTTCAATTCTTTGTACATATTTTCTATTCTTTCCAAAGTTTGTGCATAGAGTGATTGTGCTGCACCATCTTCTTTTTTCCTTTCTAAAAATGCCTTCAACCCTTATTCCCTATTGTAATAAATTTATGTACCAGATTTGTTTATAAGAGATTAATTTTTGTCCCCTCCAATCCTACCCCCAAAAAAGTTTTAGGCAGCTTTGTATGCCATTGTTGTTATATTTATTTTTGTTCTTTTATAAGGCTGTGTTCTCTTTCATAATGATCCGTTCGTTACTTAATATTATTATTATTTTGTTTCCTGTCCGTTGTTGGCGTGTTTCAGGAATTAATGCATGCCTATATATGTCTAATTGTCTGGTGGTATATATCCGGACTTTGTAAAAAAACAAACAAACGTATTTTGGATACTAAGCATTTCCCTAGTAATTTAAATATTCAGTTGAGTTGTTATTCCAATAAGAAATAAGGGATTGGCGTTCATCAGTTCTACCCATTGTTTTAGCCTAGGGAGGGGGGAGAGGAGAGCACAGATGACTGTTAATTCTATGTCTGTTTATTTAGAAAACAGAAACATTGAGCGAAGAAATATTTACTTTTCAATTAGATCCTCATCTCTGGCTCTACTCTAATATATATAGCATTTTTATTACAATACACAACAATTTACCAATCAAGTGGCGATAAGTTTGTTAACAATAATTAGTCAGTGTCGAAATGTCAATGGGTTAATAGTTAACGAAGAAAATCAATACAGATTTAAAAGGTAGAAATGGATAGAATAAATTAATTTTACAAGGATAACACGTAAATTAAAGATGAAGTGGTCAAAATAAATAAATAAAATAAATAATTTAGACAAATATAATTTTTATAGGTTTAGGGGGAGGGGGGCGACGCAGTCCCGTTTATGCATTCTTGTGACGATGGCCACGGTAGGGAAAGTGGCTGTACAAATTTTTTCTGTACACATAGGCTTGGCTTCTTCAGGTGAATTCCAATCGCTTCAGCCGTCTGTAGAAGACGAACTCGCAGAGCGAAATTAAGATAAGTCAGAATGCGATAAATAATTTTAAATGCTGTATTAACATCAATCTTATGCTCAGTATCAACGAGGTGGGCTAAAATAGAGCTGCAAATAGATCTTTTTTGTCCCTTACTTAACCACGTTGGATGATGTTCGGAAATACGACGATGAACCTGCCTAATTGTACGCCCAATGTAGCTGGCTGTGCAGCTGCAGTCAAACTGGTAGATACACATCTGTTTATTTAACAGATTACATAGTGAAATAGTGTCGTTTACTGGATAACGTTTTGAACATAATTTACTGTCCATAATCCCATCAAATGCAACTTCATGAATTTGAAAGTTGTTTTTTTATAGTTGTTCTAGTTCTTCTCTTTCGTTAGACGTCTGTATAGTGGAATTATCCAAATATCCGGGGAAAGTGATGTCTAATTCTTATTGTGATGAAAGTGTTTCCGGTTGTGACTTCGTTATCAGATGTCTATTTCTCTTCCAACACTTCCAGGAAGGATTCTGTCTTATAACTTTATATAAGGGGGCGACAAGTGGTTACTGATTCACAGGTAATGCTGTCGAAATCTAAAAATCCCCACATATTGAGTGAAGAGATATATTCTTTTTCAATTAGTTCCGAATCATTGGCTCGATGCTAATATGTAGTTTTCTCGCATCAAAATTGTACCAAACATGTGGTTATTTAAGTCCGTAAGAGTTGTCAGTTTTAGGCATAAGGGGGAGAATTGGTGAATATTAGAGATTCAAAGTCAGTCATAAAAAAATTACTTAGTAGCGGTTAGTAACACGATAGCTAAGTTTTGAAGCAGGGGTGAAAATAATTATGGAGTTCAAGATCAGTTAGTTTGTAAGGTTTGGTATCTGTGGTTCAGCGGCGGAGCATTCGTCAACCATGCAAGTGACACGGGGTTCGATCCTCGGCCGACGCGCTTCTAAATCCTGCTTAGCTGGTAGTAAGTCAGGTAAAGTAAGGAGGTTGTGTGTGAGGCTAGTAGCCGCAGCCTGTTAAAACAAAATCGCTGCTACCGGAATTTCAAAACTGAAGCCCTATGTTCCACTCAGAACGTAAAGGAGTAAAATAGTAAATAGAAGATGATTTTTAGGGGGTAAGCAACAAGTTATTACGTAATCACGAAATTTGTAAAATGTGAAATTCGTGAGATTCAAAGGAGTCAGTAGAATTGTGATCATAATAAAATAACAAAGTCAAAAGAGAGTAGCAAGGGGCGGGGAAAATCGTTTGTAAAACTTAATATATACAATCTAGTTGGCCAGTGACAAAGAGAGAAGTTGTGCCGATTTCTTTCGAACACAGATTTGGCTTGTTCAAATGAATTCCAATTGCGTCTGTTATAGGTAAAAGTCGTACTCGTAAACTGTGCGAAAGGCCGGGTGAAATACAATAAATAACTTTGAAGGCTTTATTAGAGTCAACTTGATGTCCAATATCAATAAGATGAGCCAGTGTTGTGCCGCGTATAGCTTTTGGAATATTTTGACTTTTGTAATCCCTCGTTTAACGGTTGGTCTGTTGCCTTTGCATTTCTGATGATGCCTAACAATCTCAATTCCACTTATTCTTTGTATAGTTATTAAATAAATCATGGATTTTTCGGGAAACCTATCATTTACGATTTTCATACAAAGCACCACGATGACATTTACTATACCCTATATCGTGTTCAGTCACTATTTGATTTCCAAATTCACTCATAACGCATCACTAGTCAACAACATGACAGTGTAGAGTAGATGAAATTTGTGCTTACATGCAACAGGATTGTTCAAGTGCAGTGCAAAAGTTTTCGACATAAAGTACATTGAGTCTAATCAATCATATCACGTATTTAGCTTATCCACTTAAAAATGTTTTAAATATAGCTCCTCTTAGGAAGTGCACATTAATCGATACACCTGATTATTTGAAAGTGTAAGCATTAAAGAAATTTTTTCTAAATGGTTATCATAGTAATCCCTACTCATCTGAACACAACATTGCTTTTCTTCATTTTTTTTCCTTTATATTGTGGTTTGTGCAATTTGGAAGTGAGCGTTTAAGCACTGTTTATCATGATAGTTCAGCAAGAATCAAGTAAACTAACAGTTAGTAAACTGAAGTTTCTAAAAAGAGAGAGGCGAACTATTGATCAGTGATCCAGAAAGCGAAATGACGGATCAGTATTTAATTTATAGTGTACTCTTCAAAAGAACAGACACCACAGTCAAGCCCTTGGTTGCTGAAGTTGAATGAATCTTCACATTCATGTTTAAGTCCACTTTTACTGTGCTATTCACTGCAAAAGCTTACAGATAAACTTAACCGCAATCTGTTCTTGTTACCACTAATTTTTCTTAAATGTATGAGTTTACGTGTTTTTTAGTGTTTTGAGCTCCAAGTTCTGCCATGTTTAGAATGAAACCGTTGTTTTTTCACATCGTAGTAAACCGACTTTACTCTTAGATTGCTGCTGTCATCCTTTCCTATAGTGACACCTGTTCTTTCTCCTAGAATAATGACTGTCATAAGGCGTCGGTGATGGTTTATGTGTTATTTCCCAGCATATGATTATTTTATTTATTTATTATTCCCTTGAGTTCCAAGTGGGGCATTGAGCTTCAACAACACATCTCTACTTTCTTCTATTTTCTGCCGTCCTCTTCAGCTTGGTCCACGGTTGCCCACAATCTCTCATCTCCTTCCACGTGTCACCCTCGCACTGATGACCCACTCGTGGCGTGTCATTCAGATTCCACTCAAGCAGTAGCCTGGTGTGATGCCATTCGACGGCCACCTCAACGTATGCCCGACCCATATCTACTTTTCCCTACATATTTAGTGAGTGACCGGCGGTTAGTTGGTTTGTTGCCAGAGATTCTTCTTGATAATCCTTCCTGGCCGTTTGATCTTCAGTATGAAGTTGGCGAAGGCAGATGTTGATAAACGTCTGCAACCTGTTGGTAACGCTCATCATGATGCTCCATGTTTCTGACCCATATATATATATATATATATATATATATATATATATATATATATATATATATATATTAGTGACTTGACATTGATGTTGGAAATCCTAATTCCGTTCTTTGTGGAGGTTGATGAAGGTGTATCTTGCCCTTCCGATTCTGGATGATTTTGACATCTTCCATTCCGCCTCTAGTTGAAACAATGCTTTCTAGATAAGTGAAGGAGGCAACCTCTGTTAAATCTCTCCAGTTGATGGTGACTGGTGTTAGTTTTTGTTGTTGGTTGGTTGGTTATCTAAATTACCTCCGTCTTCTCTATGTTCGCCTTCAATCCTGTCTTCTCTGCTTCTTCAGCCAGTTTGTTGGTTTCCGTCTGCAAGTCTTCGAGTTTGTATGAAATTAGACATATATCACGTGCGAAATCCAGGTCTTCTGGAGTCTTCTTATTGGTTCAACGTATTCCTGTCTTCTCTCCTCCTGCGCAGAGACTGGCACACAGTCCAGTCCACCACAACTAAGAATAGCATCGGTGATAATAGGCTGCCCTGTCTTACTCCTGTATTCCCCTCAAGTAATCCTCTGAATTTTCCGTTGTGGATCACCTGAAATTTGGCATTGTCATAAAGTCAGCTTGTGAATGAGGTTGATACAGATTTTGGCACTGCATGGGTTAGAGTTGAAACAGTTTCTGAATTACCTCTCGGTCAGCGCTATCTGCTGAAGGCCTTTTCGAAATCGATGAAGTTAATGTCGAGGTTTGACTGCTCTTAATGTAGTTGAAGATTGAATGATCAATTCATGGTTGT